GTTCGAACCCACCCAGTGGCTCCATGGGAGAAAGACCTCACAATCTACTTCCATAAAGATTACAGCCAAGAAAACCCTATGGGGCAGTTCTACTCTGTCATATGGGGTTGCTATGAGTCAGAATCAACTCGATGGCACCTAACAACAACAAATACATGTATACGTTTATGTATATGTATACGTGGAGCCCTGGTGGCGCAATGGTTAAGAGCTTGGCTGCTAACCAAAAGGTCAGCAGTTTGAATCCACCAGCCGCTCCTTGGAAACCCTATGGGGCAGTTCTACTCTGTCCTATGTGGTCGCTATGAGTTGGGATCAACTCGCCAGCAAAGGGTTTGGTTTGGGTGTATATGTATATATACAGCTGGCCCTCCGTGTCTACGGAGTCCACATCCATGGATTCAACCACCACAGATCGCAATATTTCGAAAAAAAAAAATTCCAAAAAGCAAAACTTGAATTTGCCATGCGCCAAGCACTACACTTAATCCCCACGAATGAAGTGATGTGCAGCATCCCCTGCTGTAGCTTCCCGCCATCTCACAGATCCTCAGTCTTTCTCCAGCTCTCGGTGTTTGAGCATTGTTCGACCTGCACCTTGTCATTATTCCCTAAAAGATACAGTATTATATAACAGCTATTTACATAGCATTTACATTGTATTAAGTATTATAAGTAATCTAGAGATGATTTAAATTATACAGGAGGATGTGCATAGGTTATATGCAAACACTACACTATTATATATAAAGGACTTGAGCATCCTTGGATTTTGGTATCTGCAGGGGTCATGGAACACAGAGGAACATCTCTCTCTCTCTATATATATGTATATGTATTTATATATACACATATGCATGTTTGTGTATATATAAATATATATCTGGAGAGAGAGAGAGATTTACTTCAAAGGATTGGGTCATGCAGTTGTTGGGGCTGGCAAGTTCAAAAGTTGTAGGTCAGGTGGCAGGCTGGAGACTTCTGAAGGCTTACGTCCATGATCTCTAGGTCAGGTGACAGGAAAAGGGTGCAGTCAAGAGCGAGAGTTCTTCCAGAATACCTGTTTACCGTCTGAAGTCAGACCACACCCTGAGGAATTCCCCTTACAACTGATTAATTGATTACATTATGGAAGGTGATTACATTACATTACATTACATTACAGTATGGAACAGCAAGTCATCTAATGTTTGGCCAGATAACTGGGAATCATAGCTTAGCCAAGTCGACACGTAAAATTAACGGTCACAAAGGGGAAGTCGGTTAATTGGGTAAATGGAATGTTGACAGACAGCTCCCACTGTTCTTGTCCCTTTAGGTAAGATGCCTCACGAGGCGGACTTGGGTGCCACAGCAGCGGATCCTGAAGCTAGCCCAGAGTGCCTGGGGTACACCCCTCTGCCCAGTGAAGCAGCTGTGGAAGACACACAGGTGACCTACCCTGCCAGGTGAGTTACCTCTTCCTGTTTCCAATGTGGGCACCTGGGTTCTTTTGCAAAGTTGC